CAGAATTCCAGAACCGTGTACCTATGGAGGGACACGCGATGCTAAAGAAGTTGAGAACTTCTTGTTCGCCATGGAACAATGCTTTCTTGCGGCTTCGATTCAAGATGAAGCGAGAAAGGTTACAACAGTTACCATGTATCTAGGTGGAAATGCATAACTATGGTGGTATACGAAGTATGCTGATATTCAGGCAAATAGGGTCCGAATAGATTCTTGGGATCTTCTCAAGGAAGCAATCAGATCTCAGTTTTTTCCAGAAAATGTGAATATAAGGCACGTCGGGACTTACGAGAACTGAAACACACAAGTTTCATCAGAGAGTATGTGAAAGCCTTTTCAGGACATATGCTGAATATTCGAGATATGTTGGAAAATGATAAGATTTTCACCTTCATGGAAGGGTTGGCACCGTGGACACGTACGGAACTTCAGAGACAGAAGGTCACTGATTTAAGCGCGGTTATGGAAGCTGCCGAATATTTGAGTGAGTATCAACCAGAATCGAAAGGATCGACCTTCGAAAAATAGTCAGTCTATTGGAGGTGGAAATAGACCTCATTTACCCAGCTCGAACTCAAATGGGGGAGAGCGTTACTCTCAGAATCAGGGAGGAGCCTATCAAGGCAATCGTCAAACTAACAACTGGAACCAAGGAAAGCAAAGGAGGGCAGATCTGATGCCGTCCTAAATTGAAGTGCTTTTTATGTGAATGATCCTATCAAGTGGTGGAGTGTCCTCAGAAACGGATGGTGAATGCATATTGCCAACTAGCAAGTGGCAGAATGAAATCAAAGCAAGGTACCCCACAAACTAGCTGTTATGGCGAGACCGACTCTGAAGAAGATGAGGATAAGGATGTAGTTGGTGCATTCTCCCATCGGTGCAATACACTATCGCACCGAGTTACTAAAAGGGAAGATGGTCCGTCAAAAGAGTTGAAGATGGAAGAATCGAAGGCTCACAATTATAGGGTGCAAGACCTAATGTACATTGATGTGAAGATCAATGGGAAACCAATCAGGGCTATAATAGATACCGGTGCTACCCACAACTACCTCGTAAGTGCTGAAGTAGAGCGGCTTGGACTTGCTCTAGAGAGGTAAGGGGAAAGTTAAAGCAATCAACTCCGCTGCTCAACCAATAGCGATAGTAGCGAAATCTGTGTCGATCAAAGTAGGTCCCTTCGAAGGAAGGACGAACTTGTCTGCAATTCAGATGGATGATTTCAAGATCATTCTGGGATTAGAATTTCTTCGGGATACAAGAACATCTGTGTTGCTGCATTCCGACTCGTTAATAAAGATGGGTAGTAAACCATTCATTATCCCCACACAAGTTTGGAAAACAAGTGAGAGGGGTATCTCTGCTATGCAATATAGTAAGATTTTCAAGAGGAATGAACCCTCGTTTTCATGAATTCTTCGATTAGAGGAGATCGAAGAGGCGACGGTCCAATTCCAAAACCTGTCAGAAGGCTTGTTAAGGAATTTGCGGACATCAAATCGAAGGAGTTACCAAAGAAATTGCCACCAAGGAGGGCAATTGATCGTGAGATTGAACTTGTTCCGGGTGCCAAACCTCCCACTAGGGCACNAATGAACCCTCATTTTTGTGCACTCTTCAATTGGACAACATTGCAAGTTATGTGAGAACTTGCCTTGTTCGTCAGCAAGATATGGCAGATTATCAGAAAAATGCAGGCTTACTGGAGCCCCTTTCCATCCCGAATAGACCAGTCGAGAGTGGATCGATGGACTACATTGGTGGACTGCCAAAATTTGGAGATTTTGGCACTATCACGGTCAAGAGGGATCGTTTATCTAAAGATGCAACCTTCACCACAACGCCCAAGTATGTATCAGCTGAAGAGACAGCTTAACTCTTCTTCAAACATATTGCTAAATACTGGGGACTGCCTAAGAACATCGTCAGTGATCGCGATTCTCGGTTTACTAGCATACTTTGGACCGAGTTGTTCATACTTCTTGGTTCAACTTTGAGCATGGACTTGAGTTTTCATCTACAATCTGACGGATAGATGAAGCGCTTCAATGCTATGCTGGAAGACTATTTTCGACACTTTATCTCTGTTTCGCAGAAAATTTGGGTAAAACTACTGGATCCGGTTCGGATGTGTTTCAATACTCAAAAGTACTCTTCTTCCAATAAGAATTCTTTCGAGATTACTACTGGCCAGCAATCGTTACTCCATCATACTAAAGAGATTCTGGGCCATCGAGCTCGAGTTTCTAGGAACTACCTTCAAGAGTACTTGATCAAATGGAGCGGATGCGATAGATATTTACCAACATTGTCCCTCTCCCTCGAATCCCAAGTACACAGTTATCCGATGATTCGTGTGGCATGAGAAGGGGAGCCAATGGAAATAACCCGAGTGTTTGATTGATTACGCTGCACATATTTCAGTGTTGGAAGGTCTTGCTTATCCAATGCACGTCCATAGCAGGTCTGGATTTCGGCCAATGCCTTGTCCATGGATTCTGGATGATTGAGAACTGACATTGTCCATTCTAAAGTGGTGGTTGAACTTTCTGTCTCGGCGCCAAGCATTGCCTAAATTAGTCAAGAAAAAAAATACATCAGTAATGCAATCTGGTGTCTTGTGAATACAAATATATAAATTTGACGTCTCTCGAATAATTTAAGCTTATAAATAGGGTAGCTCAAAGCTATTGAAAACTGGAATAAGAATGCCATATTTATTTATTTTTTATTTTTTAATGAAGAAGACAATTTTTTTTTTCTCTATTTTTCTCACAAAAACTCGGCCCCTACGAATTCTTTACAATCCCTAGGCGCCACATAGTCCATACGTAAGCCGAAAGTGGTTCAATCCATCTCTAAGTTTAATTAGGCTATAATTGGTTTAATTATAAGTATAGTTCCTAAACTTTAACTATAATTACAATTCAGTTCAAAATTTCAATTGAGTCCAAGAAATTTTAGAGCTACCACACGACGTGTTCGGACATATAATTTTTCATGCTCCAATAATGAGATAATGTCCAAATCTTACTATTTGTCCTCGCTTTCTTCACACTAATGATGAAAGAATTTACACTAGGAATAATATAAACTCACAAAAGATAAAATATATATGCAGCACTGACCTACCTTATATATATTTCCTCCCCTTTCAATATCAAATAATTATTTATGATCATAAATGATTGTTTTACCCCTCCAACTATTCTCAATAGCTCAAGTTAGCTTTTCTTAAATGATCTTATGAACCAATCCTAGATGTCGAAGTTGAGTTCAGATTTATAATCGTTCAACATAAAATATTTTAGTCACTTGACTCATTTTGTGTTCTATTCTACTCTCATTCTCAAGCTCCCAACTTATCGAGATATTTGATCAAATAAATTGATTTAACCCATTGATTAATCAAAGAATTATTAAGATCAAGAAAAAATATACACAATCCTATCAAAGAATTTAGATGAGAATCACGCTACATGCATAACATTGGTTGACAACATTGGATGACAACATCATATTCAGCATCATCATATCCATCCATTAAAAAAAACTGTTTTTTACGTCATGTGATATGATTTTGACAACACATGATCACTGTTGTCAACCAATGTTGTATATTTAGATTTATTCTTTAGATGAAATATAAAGTGATCACATGAAATTTAAATTTAGCACGATCATGCTACATAATAAACTCAACACGTGGCCGTTTCAATACACTCCAATTGTACTAATGTCATGATTAAACTATTTCTATCATAATGACAAATTACAAACTTGAATGGTGAAATAGTTAACACTACAATGTCCCATTACAATATCCAATCATCATACATTGGTTGTAAACAATTTTATTTATAATCAAAATATAATTTGTATCACATTTTACTTATCAACTTAATCACCTAACTTATATTTTCATAAGCTATCTTTGCACTTTTATTTATATGTTCAATATCAAATAAATACAATAACAGTGAATAAATAAAAACAAAATTTATTTATTATACAATTGTTATTTTACTGTAGTAAAACTATGAAATATGGGCGTATAACCCAACATATTTTCCACTTTCCCTGAGAGCATTTGTATCATGTCTTGCAAGTCCGTGACTTGTAAACGTCCCTCGAAACTCTTAGTCGACAAGCTTTTATTAAACGTATCAATGAGATTATCCTCAGTAGTAATCTTGTTGACAAGCATATCTCCACAACCATTAATTTCTCTCATGAGATGATATTTTCGTTTTGTGCTTAGCCCTCTGATGGAATCTTGATTCTTCAGCATTTGCCACTATCCCACCATAATCACACTACATTGTCAAGGGATGTGCATATACATTCACCATTCAATGTCTATTAAGAATTTCTTGAGCCATACTGCCTCTTGGTAAAATCAGCAATGTAAGCTTGCTTGATATTTCTCCATTTTATGAC